CCATTGGTCATTGGGTAAGGAGTCGTTGGGGACGAACGTCTCAATTGGGGCTTCGGCCTGGCCCGACATTTTTCGCGGATGTGGGACTGTGGGACTGTGGGATCCCCAGACTCCCTACTGGATATTAAATAATATTTTTTTTTGATTGAAAATCCAAATTTCAAGTCAACGTTTTGGTGGGGTCTGTGGGGTTTTTTTTGAAAGTGGTATTCAGTTCTACACTGGTGACCTACTGGTCACCGAGATTTACGTTTCGGAGGCGAAAATTTGAATCAAAGGTCCGTCGTGAAAAATAAATATGGGGAAGTGAAAAATATATCATAGCCTCCTAAATTGAACATTTTTTTAATAGTGATTTCAGATACCACGTTGCGACATAGCTACGATACGCTATAACAGCGCTACAACATCTATTGTGGCTGGAATGAATATTTGCGAAGCGCTACATGTGCCTATGTATGTGTGCGTTATCAGCGTGTGTGAACGTGTGCGTGTATTTTGCTATGTATGTGTGCGTTATCCGCGCATATGTACGTGTGCATAATCCGCGTGTATGTACGTGTGCGTGTATTGTGCTATGTATGTGAGAGTTATCCGCGTGTATGTACGTGTGCATTATCTGCGTGTATGTACGTGTGCGTGTATTATGCTATGTATGTGGGCGTTATCAGCGTGTATGCACGTGTGCATTATCTGCGTGTATGTACGTGTACGTGTATTTTGCTATAATGTGTGCGTGTACTTGTATGCAGTGCGTTATCCGCGTGCAAGTACGTATGCATGTATTTTTCTATGTATGTGTGCGTGTGCTTGTTTGTATGCAGTGCGTTTTCCGCGTGTATGTACGTATGCGTGTACTCTGCTATGTACCACAGTGTGCGTGTGCTTGTATGCATGTTTGTGTACACTGTATGCGTGTATTTCTTTTGATTCGGTACATCGCATGTGCGTGTGCTTGTTTGCATACACTGTATGCGTCAACGATTTATACTAGTACAGTGGTGTGTAACAATGATCAACCTGTGTATCTCAAAGTCTGTTTTTAAAATCAGTAGGTGAATGATAATTTCTTGTATTTATATTTGTGTACTGTGGCATAGCCTTCTGAAAATTAGACTGAGATAGTACGGTTTTATGCGCCAATTTACACCAATAGATTTCGATTTCCTAAGCGATCATTATATTGGCTATCAAATATGGTTCATTTTCAATCTTCCTGCAGGTCCAGTATACAAATTCAAATCAAACCGAAGAAACTGAAGAAGATAAAATACACACACCCTTCACAGCATATATGCCCTGCGGGGAAAATATTTAATACATATACAATTCGAGACAAAATTTGGGATACATACATACAGTCGTGAGTCATGACCCTCTCTACTAGTAGAGAGAAGTGTGAAATATAAATATGGGAGAACGGACGAGTCTGTCAAGTCCGTAGGACAGGCCGGCTGACTCTTTTGCCCGGCACAAGAGGGTATATACCAATTCCGCTTGAGGTTTTATTGGCCGATTTTCTAGAATATCCAAAAAATATATTAACCAACCAGAATCGATTGATTTAAAAATTAAGATGATTTAGTTGCCCATTTTTTTTTGGTGGCGCCAAAACAAGATGTCAACACACGCTGGAAACATCGCTATTCATCATGACCCTCTATAGAAGACAAGATGGTCATGTATTCATACTAAAAACACACATATAGCCTCATATATGTGATTATGTTGTATGTACGTCGTTCCGTTCTTCTTGTGATGTAGCAATGGTTATCTGTGTTGTTGATGCTTATAATACAGTCGGGCCAGAGATAAGAATCGCACGTAGACGTATAAGTTTCCGGCTCCCGATAATATCGAAGGCAGCTCTTTGTTCGACCAGTGGGTGAAGGCGTATCCCGTGCTTTGGCCAAAAGACTATTTCAAGACACTCTCAGCTAAAGGTTATAGTAATCACTTCAAAGATGAAGACTTCCATCCTTTGACAGCAGCGGACTTCATTATGCATGCTAACCGAAAGCGAGGAATAAATCCTTTGCCGAAGCGAAAGTTAAAAGGCGAGGGCCATCACAGTTATTTCCAATGTCGACGCATGTTTGTAGTTTAGCCGTAGACCACGAGCGCAAGGCCAGGACAACTGCTTATTTGAAAAGACAGTACAAAATGAAGCACGATATGCTAAAGGCCGAAGAGCAGGAGAATGAACACGAGAAGCAGGCTGATCTAATAGAAGATGTACAAGAATTCCGAGCTCTGATCAAAAGCGAATGCACTGACTGGCAAGTAGAGTAAAAGAATAAGGACCTTTATTTTTTATAAGATTGTATAAATAGCTGTGTCTGGCACTTCCGTGCCATTTTTTGTGTTCATCAAATAGGATCTCCTTGTGAGTGTTTACTTGCCAAGATCTGTTGGCTCCTTGTCGGGCAATACTGAATCTCCACTCTATGCAACCACGATCGTGTATGAAAGAAATAATACCTATCCCAGGTGGGTACGCAAAAGATCAGATTTCGTATTCCTAATTAAAAAACGTACGTATAAGTTACAATACGTTCACAAACAAACCATTGCAGTTGGATTTGAAACATATTGATATTCAAATTGAAGACTACGCATCTTTACTTCACAACAAATCAAAAGATTACGATAATGTTAACGAAGGTAGTGTGCACGCAGGGTCTGTGCAATACTGATTAATAAGTGCTCAAGTTAGTCAAGACTGCATACCCAAATTGTTGTTCTTTGCTGAGCAAACACGCATCGCAAATTCAGAGTCGCGAGGTTGCCGCTACCAAGGTAAAACTATGATGTTCGGACAACAGCTGCACAGTTGTACATCTGGAGCACATAATTTTTTTTAAGCAGGACAGCAAACACCTATCATTGCCGCCGGGCGACCAATACACAGCGACTACATTGCCCGTGGACTCAATATGCAGACTAGAATTGAATAGTGCACATACAGATATCTTTCAGAGACTGATGAAGCTATGATTATTGAATAATAATGCAGTCAGCAAAATATTCAAGCGCAAATTCGGTGAATAACGGGCACAATTGATAGACTCTCTCCGATATATATATGTAGATGATATCGAAAGCAGAAGTATACTGCTATACAAGAACGGACAGATAATTGTATTTGCACACAACAAACTTACGGAGCCGGCTATTCATATAAGCTGTGTTACTATGCCAGGAATAACCAATGATCAACACAACACACTGTTGCCTATTCTCACAACTTCCTCAGATGGTAAATACTACGTCGATATTGTAGAGCCTTCGATGATTGTACCTTACCCAAGCGTGAAGTCCGGAAAGCTTTGTCCGCCAAATACAGGTAGCTATTCTTACCCGGTGATGTGACAAATAGCTATGCCTTAACTGCGGATGCCTGAGTGATGACTAAGTGGTTTGCCCCCGTGCCAATAAGGGTGTGCATGTCATGGCCGTTCACTTGTAAAGTAACATAAACACGGTTGTCAGCAGAAAACAATTTATCGTTTACTGCAAATATTCTTGTTGTCGTACGACCAAATGGCATGCACATGTTCAGGTCAGGCACCCCAACCTTTTACTCCGAATCTGTTCCAGCTTCCCAACTATCAGGTACTGGCTCGTCTTCCATCAACTCATCGTCTTTCTGTACATACGGCTCGTCGACCAAGTCATGAATATACATCAGTGGTTGATCTACGTTGCACAGGGGCTCCACTAGGCTTTGTGTGTCTACCCGTGTTGGTCTGGACTGTCGGTAGCTGTTGTTTAGGACAGGGGTACGCATGTCCTGGTCCCGGCGGAAGATTCTGCTCGCATGACCGACAACAAATATGAGGATTTGATGCTGGTGGCGCATGCGGGTTAGCTCGTGCATTAGCGCCAACGCGCAAATCGAGCGTGAACACAAATTCCCCTGGATCTGTTGTGTTCGCAAGAAATTTACCCGACAATATTCTTCTGCCTTGTCAATGTTCACACGAAATACGTCACGCATCTTCTCAGATGAGTAGTCTCGCCAATGTGGGTATATACGAAGAGTATCACGGTAGTATGATCCCCCCACGGCTTAATGTATAGGATTGAGCACACCATGGTTGCTATATAAACGTACAAGATTCTCATACTGTGTATCGCATCTCCACAAATTCTTCTTTGTGATCAAAATCACGAATTTGCTTGTCAAGCGGTACCGTTGGTCTCAGTTTGTACGCTAGCACCTGTCTGTATGCATTATCCTCTAAGTTCTGTTCTTGTGTGCGTACAATAAGGGCGGTGTCGTCCTCATACGACATAAACTGCAATTTTTGCTCGTTCTCCACAAAAAAGTCTAATAGCGCCTTAAGTGGCCCTTCTTTCTGGAGCGCCCTATGTAGGATCATCTGCATATGAACTGTGTCTAACTTGTGACATTTCGCATTCTTATGCCAGTCTAAGATAAAACGCATTCAACTGCATCTTCTGCGGGTGATCTAGAAATCGCCGCCCTATGGACAAGGTGGCCATTCTTTTGGCATCCGTTTGTCTAGCGCTATTGAGTATGTCTTAAGAGTCTCATTAGATGTACGAATTAGACTCTACAACACACGTGTATCTTCTATACCCCACTCAGCTTCCGCTTGCATCATACGTTGGGTAAGCTGGAACACCTACATCTTCATCTCATTGGATGTACGAATTAGACTCTACAACACACGTATGCCTTCTATACGCCCCTCACCTTCCGCTAGCATCATACGTTGAGTAAGCTCGAACACCTTTATCTTCATCTCTGCCGCGGTAGACTCAGTAATGCACGATTTTTTGGGTGCTGATATCTTGCATCAGTTTACATCCCGTGGGTCCTCTAAGTAACGATCGTGATTAACAGGAAAATGTTTACGATAAGCAGGCGTATCAATAGGTGCATTTGCAGTATCCTGACAATTATCCTTCTTCTCTACTGGTGATCGTTAACGACGATGACGTTGAAGCTTATCACTTTGATTAATCAGTTGTCGTAGAGATTTCATCACTCTGCGAAATGCAGTGAAGGAACATTTTGCCGACGATGACAGATTTTGGGGAGTGTTCATTGCCAAGTGCAAGTTTCTCCAGGAGATTTCATCACAGCTGACGATTTCTGACCACGACCCGAGCCATAAAAGTCGGCCGGTATCTGATCAGGTGTCGGAATTTCTTTTGCCCGTTCTGAGCGTGTTGCAACATCCGCTCCCTACGAGTATCGGGCACATTATCGCAAGGTGCCACTTGAGGTATCGGCTATATGCGGCCAATTCTTCGTTTCACAGTGCTAAGTTGCTTCATAACGTCCGCCATTCTATTAGGTAACCGGGCAGTTGATATCGTATGAACATTTGCGAAGTTGGCGAAGTTATCCACGAAAGAGATGAATAGTTTTCGTGGCCTCCTACACATGCGTCATCGTTCCCTTATCCAACGTAGAAATCGAGTGCTGGGCCTCCGAAACCAAACGGGCCAGCGTCACGTGGATTGCTGCCTTTTCTTCATTCTCAGGTGTGGGGTCCCTAGTAAATGCTATCTCCGCCTTAGCACAGATTAAAGGCAATCGACGCAGAACTTCGATGTAAAGGTGCTATGAGTCATAGTAAGACAGATAGTTATTTGATAACGTAGCTACATATTTTAGTTTTATTTTATCTAAAAATTAAATAAATAAAACAATATCTATTTTTATTATTGTATTTACCGTGAAGTGTGAGTCTTAGACTCCTAGTACTTTTAAAACAGAAGTTTAACGTATACTATTCCGTTCACACATTCCAGTTACTATGAGGAATATGAGGAATACCATTTACACAAACAGTGTACACCGAGCGACCGTTTTGATAGCCGGTCACACGCTTGCTTGCCTCTACCAACCCCGAACAATGAAGGGCCCATCTCCAAGGAGCCTCTGACTGACGACCAATGTAAATCAACCATGCACCAAATGCTCACTAGCTTTGCCAATGTAAACAACCTTGAATCCGAACTCCGTGACCTTAAATCCCAAACCCGTGCACCTAAAAATGAAGGTACACCCAACTCCTTCCGATTAAGCTCCACAAGTCCGCCTGCCCCGCTAGCAGTGAGCCTCCCAGCTACCGCTCAAAAGTGGACAACCCCGTAAAACCGAGCCACCAAAAACGCCCGACCCCACCAGCTTCTCAGCCCCTACTGCAGCCTCCAGTACCTGCACACCTTTTGACGAAAGTGATGTGTCGCCCGATGCCGGACGAGACTCTTCACGAAATGAACGACATAACACCGAAATGGCTCTTCTTCCGGGCAATTTTCTCTAACGGCAAGCCCTCATCCCAATTAGTATTTGAAAAATACTGGCACGTCCAACCACTCCTCAATCGCCACCACTTTCACTGGCATCTTCCGTCTAAACCGGTCTCTTAACCAAATCGCCGCGGAGCTCCACCAGTTTCGTCCGCCTTTGTGTTCCTAGTGAAGCTGTCGCCCAGGTGAAACGGCATGCGACACTTACGTGGAAATGCCGATTTGATAAAACCATCGACCCCCGCTCCCAACAGCATCCCGACGCTACGAAAGCGGCTTTAATCCACTGTCCCCACACCAAGCGGGAGGCCCGCTGCACACATGAACGAGCGTCAATTGCCCGTAGCATGGATGCACTACTGACACCCCTTGTCAACTCCACTAACGCAGACATCCTCCGATCATCACGGACCGTTGTCAGAAGGTTTACCAAGCAAAACATGATGCAAATCTCTTCTCACCTAACCAGCGAATACCGGCAAACGCTAAAGAACCAGCGCGTGCGCAGCCCGGACGACTTTACGTACCAACGGTCTTCCCGACACAATCATCCGACACGATGATTCTAAACGCAGCCTCAACCTTCCACGACAGACTCTTCGACGACAAGGAACGATATAGAAATGATTGAAATCAACAAGGAAGAAAGCCCAGTAGTGTTGACCGATGATGAACAATGTTAGGACCAGTGAGGATGTCGCTTTTCAACCCAAAAGAACTCAACATGGACAACGCAGCACTTACAGATAAATGTTTGAACGTTGTATTAATTTTGAGTCAGGTTGATGTTATGTGTGTGGTCGAAACTTGGCATAACACCATATTTCTTAAATCTACATCACACTACACGGCATAATATCTTACACTCTTCACACTGTGGTATTGGTCTCACCGTACCCGGTGTTCTTTGTGTGCTTTGGCGTTCATATGGCCGTGTTCTACCTCTCACTCGAATCACCTATCGAATAAGACGTCAGGCGATACATGAATTCCCCCGATATTGGCAATTTCTAACCAGATGCTTGTTTGGAGGGACTTCAACTTCAAAGCCCCGAAGTATGGCCATGCATATACAAATCCTGGACTACGTATGAACACGATCGAGACTATCCTGCGTAGTACGTGGCACTTGGACTACCTCAATACTGGCGGCTCAACTAGTACAGAATATGGGTACCACCGGCCTACCACTCCCGCCTCCCTCCAGACCTATAAGCTGACAGACTACGGTATATGTGGTGGCCACACTTTTGGACTCGATCTCCAGATACTTCCAACGGAACAAATCCATCGGCCCCAACACATGTCAACAATGTCGCCTCCTCCGGACCAATGCTTCCCCTCGCATGGATATAACCGATATCACTATCGACTGTACCACTTACGCAACCAATCCCGAGCGATACTATTCCAAGCCGAAATTCGGGCGCATTAGAACCTACTACGGTCGTATCTCACTTTGTACGGACCAGCGGAAGGCCCGGCTGCCAAACCACTATTTCCGCCCACGCCTCACCGCCCAAAGTAATGCTCAAATGTTCAAAGATATTGCGGACTAACGACGGTCTCCGCGCCAACCCTGCATACCGGGTGCCGATGACACAGGCGCCACCCTCACTGGCTACTTTGAGGATCTATTCATTTCTACAAACACGTACGTGGTTTCACCGGATACCGAACCCTCGCCACATGTAACTTCCGCCATACGCCCCGACGACGCAATGGACGCTATACTACGCTATCCCAATAAGGGGCCTGAACTGTTCCCTGCAGCCCTGAACTGCAGCCTCCTGTCAGCGCATCCAAAAAAGGCCGATGCAGATATCACCTTCCCTGCCGACTTCTGCCCTATCACGTCAACGCAAAGAGTCAGACGCATCTTTGAGAGGTGCTTCCTTTCGCTGGTTACGAGCCACCTCGAGTCTGCTACCCATGTTACCCAAGCTGGCTTTAAATCACCATACTCCTGCCATACCCAAGCATCCGTCGTCATGGAATCTGAGACAAAGTCGTAAGAGGAGTGGAACGGCATCTGTCTAGACACGACCAAGGCATACAACAAGGTTGTTCTCCCACGCCTATGGGTACTCCTACGCCACGCTGGAATACCCTAAAACTGGATCAACTGCCTCCGCGCGCTATTTGAGAGGGTCTCTACCTGAGTAACATACCGCTGCACGCTCTCGTTTCTATTTTTGAGAACGAATGGCATCCTACAAGGCTCGATCGTTGGCCCACAGCTCTTCATTATCTACATAGACCTTTTAGCTGTCACGCTACCACAATTCCGGCCCAAGCTCCCCTGCTCTTATTTATTTGTCGACGACACAGGAATCCAAGCCCCCAACTGGTTCTGCTCCAGCCCTCCTTAGACAACATTGATGCGAGGGAACACAAATCTGGCCTCGAACAGGGTGTCATCAAACCCCAAGTACGATCTACCGACTTGCGACAGGCGATGCCAACCCTCCGTATAAATGGTGAACCTATTACGCCGACGCTCGCAGACGCACCTTGGAACACACGTTACCTCTCCTAAAGATGGCGTCCACACATGCCAAGCCTAAACTCTCCAAATATCTGGGGTTCCCACTCTCTCACCGCATATCAGAGATCAACCTCGCCAGATATATGGGATCCCTGGTTGAAGTATTGTCCCTTGGTATCGCCTCTTCCCGCGCCTATGGCTTCCATGGATTCAGCTGGCAACCCCCACAACCGACTAGCGCTGTTCAAAACATTCATCCTAACCACGGCTACATATGACCTGAACATTATTGTCTGGGCTCCGCCTATATGGAAGGATACGCTGGATACCCTGTTCGAGCGCTAT